ATTGGGTCCAGACCCTTGTGCATCTTTAAAATGACTAAAGATCCAAACAGGAAAGGAGCATGTACCGAAATCTAGCAAACTATATTGTGTAGAATTTGCCTTTTAAATGCTGGCATGAATAGCTTGAAAAAAACTGTTGCATCTCAAATTTTGGATGCGACAGGACCAGAGACAAGGTTCCAAACCTCACCAGTATTTCCGAACAATTAACTGAACGGAATGTTCAGTAACTGAGTGTAACATTACATAAGCTGGCGTCTTGTATTGTAGTAACCTTTGTCCTGTGGTCAGAATTTCTGGTGAGACTGGTTCCAGTTGAACAGAATGTAGGCTTGACTAGCCTCAAAATGTGATGAAATGGTGTATATTGCATGTTTTTGTTCTATTCTATGCTCATATCTTTGCAAGCAATCTATGCATGTCCTGATTAAGGAGCCATTTGTACTGCTGTGGAATTCCTAGGGAAAAATTTCACTGGACGCTTTTACTTTCAAACCAGTGTTCATGGGCATTGTATTTAAAAACTTTCCTATTTTAAATACTATTTGGTTTACTTACAGGAGGTCTACAGTATATTTGATAAGAAAGCGGGGCTAAAAGAGCTGAACTACATTGGGAATACTTTTGGTTCTTGTGTAACTGGCAAAAAATGACTAACTGGTGTCTGCTTGCAGACCAGTAACTATTCAGTGGCATTTGTTTCATAACCTCTGTGGACTACTGCCAGAGCATTGATGTGAGGCAGACTAGGACATATGCAACCACTGAAGATTTATTCACTTCAGGTGGCATTTAGGCCATGTAATTCAGTTGAAGCTACATAGATTCATTCTAGCATGATGGTGCCAGCTCATTTTAAAACCTGGTACAGGCCAGCATTCCCTTTTTTTATTTTGTTTATAGACCCTGTTGGACCATTCATTTCAACAAACTTCTCATAAAGTGATATGCATGTTGTGTTTAGCTGTAAAAGCTTCCCTTGTGTGGAGGTCTTGGAACAACTGCTTGTCACCGCCATTTTGGGTGGGATGTTGGCAGCCTCAGAGCTGTCACTTTAAGTATAACTAAAGGCAAAACTTTTTTTTAGTTTTTGATAGTGGAGATAGATTTGAATATCTGTCAGTTTGTATTGCGGTCTGTGCCCCTGTTAAGGAGATTCACGCTCTGTCCTGTTTACCATTATCACTGAAAGTTAAATGAAAAGAAAATCCCAAATTTTAGTTTGTCCCCAGAAAGGTAATAGAGGGGAAATCTTTCAATGGGGACACTAGTTCTGGTGACCTGGGGGTCCGCAAAGAGTTTCCTAATTTGCATGGGTTTCCTCTCACTACTTTGGCGATGGGACAGGAAGTGAAGGGAAATCTCTGCAATGGGAGATGGCGAAAAAAAAGAAATCTGATGGTGTTTTAACCCCCCTCTGCTCTATCCAAAATGGAAAAAGTATTGCCTACTTTAACATTATGTAGGGATATGGGGGATGGGGTAGAGTAGCTGGGGCAGTAGAATGTGAGACTCTGTGTCTTTTAAGTTGGTGTCAGGGTCTCTTTTAAGGGAATCTCTGGGCACAGCGAAATACTTGTAGGAAGCTTTGAATGGAAGCTGCTATTCAGTGAAGGCTATAGGTTTTGGAATCTTTCTGTACAGATGAGAACAGAAGCATTTGGGGTGATACCCAGTTAAGGGCTGATTTGCAGACCGGTTGCCTCTCGCATCACAAAGGGAGTTGAAAGATATTAGTGATTCCAGCAGCATTTATCATAGGAACTTTGTTTTGTATAGATGCCATCTAATATAAACTCACAGTCCTCGCAGCTATTGCCTGACCTACTTATACACCTGATAAGTGGAAAGATAACTTACTGCAAACTGTTAGAACTTGCATAATCCTAGTGTCATTTGAGTGAACCCATGTTGAAATATACTCTATGGAAAGGGCCCAAGTGTGCCTGAATTTCATTTGATGTCAGTTTCCAGTTTTGCATACCAGCACATTTACTGTGAATTTTAACTTTAAAAGTAAACCAAGTCAAATGCAGAAGTATTGTATTTCAACATGAGCATAGATATTCTCCAAAGTCTTTGCACATGTCTCCTGTATTCTTTCTCACCACTGAGGCATGAATAGAGTACTCAATTGACTATCCCACCTCAGGAATGTTGTCCCATTCAATCCTGATATAGGATTCTAAACTGCTCCACAGTCCTGGGTTGTATTTTCCATTCAAGATGTGCCAAATATTTTCAATTGGTGAAAGGTTTGGACTACAGGCAGGCCAGTTGAGCACCGGGGACTCCAACCGCAAAGCCATTGTGTTATAGTTTCAGGATGTGGTTGAGCATTATCCCACTGATTATGCAAGGCCTTTGCTGAAAGACATTGTCTGAATGGGAACAAATACGGCTCTAAAACTTGGATGCATCTTTCAGCATTGATTTTTGCCTTGCCAGAAACTGACCATTCCATACACACTAATGCACCCAAATACCATCAAATGCAGGCTTTTGAACTGATTGCTGATAACAAGCTGGAAGGTCCCTCTCCTCTTTAGTGTGGAGGACGTGGTGCCCATGGTTGCCAAAAAGTGTCAGATTTTGATTAGTCTGACCACAGAACAGTTTTCTACTTTGCAACAGACCATTTCAAATAAATGGATTCTAACGTACATGATAGAACTTTAACTTACATTTTTGGATAGGATGGCAAAATGTTCAATGATTTTTGGAAGTATTCCTGAGCCCATGCAGTTATGTCCATCACAGAATCATGCTGGTTTTTATGGCAGTGCTGTCTGAGGGCCTGAAGATCATGAGCATCCACTAACACATTTCAGCCTTGTCCCTGGTGAAGGGATTTCTCCAGATTCTCTGAATCATTTGATATGTATTGTAGATCATTTATACACTGAGGAACATTCTTTTGAAATGGACAATTTGTAGACCCAGCTTTTAACACATTGGTGAACACCTGCCCGTCTTTACTCTCTAACATTCCATTTTTATACCCAGTCATGTTACTGATCATTTGCCAGCCAATTAACCTAATTAGTTGCAAAATGTTCTTTTAGTTCATTGTTAGAAGCACTTTTTTTTTTTTTTTTTCTCAGTCCCAACTTTTTTGTTGCAGCCATTTTTTCAAATGAGCTAATATTTTATTATAATGGTCCATTTTCTCAGTTTAAATATTTGGTTTCTGTTGTGAATAAAATATGGGTTTATGAGATTTGCATATAATTGCATTCTGGTTGTGTAGATTTCACACAGTGCCCCAGCTTTTTTGGAATTGGGTTTGTACCTGGCAGCCACTCTTAATGAAATAAGAATAAAAATCTCTTCTGAACTTGGGCCGCCTTACATCATTCCTTAAACCCTTGGGTCTCTGGCTCAGGTCAATTCCCATTTTATAGTCTGTGTCATGGTCTTACGCAACTGTTTGAATATGTTCTCCACATGTGATCACACATCTTTGTAGGACTACCCCCTACTCCAAGGATCTCCTGTATACTTAGAATGCCTAAGTTGAAGTATGTTTTCTTTCTTTCTTTTGTATCATATTGTTTGATATATTTTAGTTCGTTTTCTGAATGTGCCGTAAAACAATAATAAAGACGGAATGCAAAAAAACTCTCAATATGAGATAAAATTATAAATAATTAATAAATGGTTGAAATAAGACACAAAATGGGTGTCAACACTTAATATTGAACGGTAAGCACATTAAGACAAAGACAACCATTTATGCTGCTTTGTGTTCATTAAATGTATATTTTAAATGCAAGCAGTGCAAGTACCTGGATTTGCCCTAAAACCTTTTGCAGTCCCTGTTCAGCAGAACTGAAGTGTGAAGAAGAAGCTGCACAAGTTGCCAATCAAGTCATCTGCTGACGCAAAGCATGGTAACAGATAAGCCCATCACTGTGCCGGTTTTTTCTTCTGTCAAGTCACAGGTTGGGGTGAATCTGACCCCGCGTTGTCTGTGGACACAGCCTGGGTCAGGACTGCACCCATGCACACGGCTTGCTTTTGGGGCGCAGGAGAGGCGTGAAAAGCGTAGACAGGGAAACCCAGAATAGGTAAGGGGCCGCTCTGTAGTACCATTGCAGAGCAGGTAAGTATAAAATTTTAAAATAGAAGTATGGTCAAAACTTGTTTGGCCATACTTTTCATGTAGGTCACAGGTGTGCGCTTATTTCTGCACTCCTATGACCCAGATTCACCTGAAAGCAGCCTAAAGCCTGCTGCTGGCTGACATCACAAAGCTGTTCCAGGCTCTGCAGGGATCCAGACATTGTCGGGATCCATCCAGATGCCTGACCGGCAGCTGGCTCAGCCTCCCAGCATGCCACTGAGCTAGCCTTTCCTGCCCCTTCCACAGCCTGACTGTCCAGTTAGCGCTGGAGGGGCAGATCAGAGAGCAATTGACTGGCAGTCCCTGCTCTCTACTCAGTGAAGACTGAAAACCAGGAGATCAGTGGATATATCTGGGGACCGCTGTAGCATCGAATTGGTGCTGCAGCCACACAGGTGAGTGTGGTTTTTTGGTTTTTTTTTTGTTTTTGTTTTTTTTTTTAATCCAACTCAAAATAAAAAAAAACAAAACTTTACAATCATGTTAAGTCCAAATACCAGGAGGGATAATATATCCAGTGGTAATGATATCCACTGTCTGCTTCCAAACAATCTTATGCTTTTTCATGTATCAATATTGGCAAAAATACAAATCTGTGGTTTAAGATCGAAATTGTATCTTTGGCATTACAATTCTCCATAACATTGCTTTAAAAATGAGTATTTTCATGTTAAAAGGCTTCAACCAAGCAGTTATGCAGTTAATTTCACTTGCCATTAGTGATACTAGCTGCTATATATTGTCAGTTTGACTATTTTAATAAAATGATTGTCATTTGTGGAGTATCTGATCTTGCGGTGAGCTCTAAAATGTCTTTTCAGGTTTCATTTTGACTATTGTGCTATGATTGATTGCTTGTTTCTTTGTCTTGCAGGTGAGCAAGTGGCAGTGTACCGAACTGCATGTGGCAAGGTGTATGTTGTAGATGCCTACTGCCCTCATCTTGGTGCCAATCTTGCCGTGGGAGGCAGAGTAGTCGGAGATTGCATAGAGTGCCCATTTCACGGCTGGCAGTTCCGTGGAAAAGATGGAAAGTGCACCAAGATACCATATGCTGAAAAAGGTACAGAAGCATCTTAAACATCCAGACATGTAAAGAGGAACTCGAGGCAAATATAACAAAATGCCCTTTTGGTTGATTTATATTTGAATTACAAAAAAAAAAAAAATTTAAGACAAATCTGCCAGAGTACATGTCTGAAGTCTAAAAACTTGGTGTGGATGCACAATATCTCCTGTAGGTCAGTCACTCTTTGACATTAGTGCTGCTAGTCTGCTAGAAGAATCCTCCTGCTGTGTTATTGTATTCTGGCATTGAGGACACCTGCTGTCAGTATACACTGATCAAATGAAAATTTTTGCAATTTCCCATTCGACAGAAGTCTTATCATTGGATCGATTTCTGTCGAGCTAGAGTGGCCATAGATGGATTGAAATTCTACCAGTCCCTGCTGAACTGGGCAAATTTCAATCCATCTATGGCCAGCTTAACATGGAGATGCCATTCTGGCTGTGTAGTGTTGGGTTTGCAAATAACGGGACAGCTGAACATAATTTCAAATATTTTCTCAGGTAAAATGTGTGCAAACCCAAACTCTAAAATCTCATAAGCAATTAATGTTATCCCATCTCACCAAAGGATGGATAGTTCCATAGAATTCACCCATTCATAAAGCCATGCTGCTCTGGTCTGAAACCACTGTATGCAGTTTGGAATAAATAGCTCGATAATAGGATGGATATCTACTGTAATCCAGCTGTTCTGGATGTACATTTGGCTACAAGGATAGAGCATAAAGGAATGTTTTCTTGGCTCTGCCCGCTATATTAAAATGAGGAAGAAACCTTATTTTTTTGTATGTGATGGAAGTGAGACAAATACCCTCTCATTTACAAAGGTAATGCTATGTTTCTAAAACTACAGCATGCTTCAAGTAGATTAAAAGCAGAAGTTTACTAGGAACACATATGAACCAACGCTAACATTGTAAATAACCCCCAAGGTGCAGCATTGACTTTCTGATTGTATTTGCATTGGCATACCCTATGCCTCACAAGTCACCTAATGTTGATTATGACTTGGTGATCAAGTATTAGACGTGTGCTTTGTGGGAGAAGAGTGGGATGTGTCCCTTCTCCCCATACCTAGATTGGGATTTACTTTCAGTGGTTAGGACAGGTGACTCCTAAGGTTCACATGCCTTTTTAAAATATTTTCTGTAATTTGCTGTACTTAACAAAGTTTGTATGCGTTTTCAGTGCCAGAGTTTGCGAAGATTAAGACATGGGCAAGCTGTGAGATAAATGGAATGGTGTTTGCATGGTATCACTGTGACCATATTGAGCCCACTTGGACCATCCCTGAACAGGAGGAAATCACCAGTAAGAAATGGGTGTACAGGGGGCGCACCGAGCACTATGTTAATGCACACATAGAGGTAAGAATTGGGACCATTGTAGCTAAGCTATATTTGATGATGGATATGTAGCTATCGTGTGCATTTTCACTCGTGTTGCTTATGCTTTTGAAAGCTGAATTTATGGGAAATGGCTTGAAATCTGCTTAGAAATGTTTGTATGTTTTGGTTCGCAGTTGATTCAGTGATGCCTCTCCCACCGCTAGTAAGATTTTTGATTTACAGCGGAACATCTTCCCAATAGCACTACAACCCATTGTGGGCCATGCTACAGGAGTTGTTTTTTTTTTTTTTTTTTACTTGCAGCCACCACTGCCTTCCAATGTACATTCTAGAATTGCTGTTTCCCAAATCATCTAGGACAGCACAAGCACCTCCTCCAGCCTTGATGGTGGGAGACTTCTTTCTATCTTTGCACTGTAGTTCCTTCCTCTTTATGAGCAGGTAGAGGCCTAAGGTACATTCAGTTTTCAGTGCCTGGAAAAGGTTAGTACTTTAAAGGTGCGTGTACCCCCCCCCACCCCACCCCTTGGTGATCTGGTTCCGCTGGCAGCAGTAATAAAATGTCCCATGTGGGGTATATGCCCACCTGTGTTCACTTGGCTAGCAGCACTAAGCCTGGGTTGGGTAATGTCACTGCAGCTCCTGGCTACAGGGCTGCCAGAGTGTAGGGAGAAGTGGGCCTATAGATGCCTTTTCTGGCTACTCCTCATGGGGTAGACAGCTCCTGCCCTGTACTACAACTCTGTTACTGTGAACGGCACACCCTCTCTACTGCTACAATGGTGATTAAGTGGCATTTGCTGTGTGTCCCTCTTGTGCTGAGTTTTAGTACAGGACAGGAATTAGATGGGCTTTTTTTCAGCCAGACTAATTATGTTAGACTATGTAAGAGGCGCACATACAGGGGACTCCTTAGGTCCCAGGGCCACAGTGGGCAGACATAAAACAGATCATACATAAACGGAAGTATCAGCACTCCTGGGGAACAGCCTGAAAAGTAAACTTGGAGGAGGAAATTTTATTAAAAAATGCACATAAGTAATTCATGGAAAAAAAGTGGAACTATACTGAAAGAAATACCACCTCACTCCTCGCGGGCTGCTGTCATCTCCTCCCCAGCTATTTTCGTGTGCTAAGTTTTCAGCATCTTGATTGGTCGGTGGCTGGTTGACTTTATCCTGCACATGCACACGGGAATCCATTCTGGTACAATCGGGAGTGTGCCGGGAATGCATAGTGAGCTGCAAATGCACAGCTCAGTGTGCATTTAATAGAACACTGAGCAGGCAAGTACGTGGTGTTGTAGAAGAAACTGCATGTGATTCAGACAGCAATTGCACAGCATTCCTGTTCAAATCACATGCAATTTTTTTTTTTTTGGGAGTGTGATTTGAGCCCATTCAATTTCTATGGCTCAAATCACACCGCACTGTATGAGGTGCATGCACCTTTTTTGTCACTTTTCTGTGAACTGTTTTTTAGGGTGTCATTGCGTTAACATTAACACCCGCAGTGGTTCGCATGAACAGAGTGCAAATGTGATGCAGTCTGGGAAACACACGATTTGCTGCAAATCCTGCACCACATCCGTGCGAACCAGCAGTCATTTTAGGCTTTGGATAGTGGAATAGTTAAAATTTGCCAGGTTAAGTTCTGCCTGTGATGTCCCGGAGTGGCCGTCACTGAGAAAGGAAGGCTCTGACCACTATCAAAATATTGTCAAGTTCTAACCCTGCCTACTGTCTTGTCAGTTTGAAAGCTCTTCAATAGACGGCAAAAACAAAACTTAACAGAGGTGCTAATCCTTCCTGCGCTTTGCAAAATAAAATGTCTTTGTCTGGAATGGAGCATTACGCATTTCTTTTCTGCCATCTGCAATTTGGGAATTGAAATCTCATTGATGGTCCATGGACAGTACAGACATTCTACTTATATTTTTTGTAAAATGTATTAAATTTTAATAGTTGGTACAGCCATCAATACAGTAACAAAAAACCTGCCCACAGCGGTATTACAAAAAACAAGATAAATGCCTTAAAATAGTCAACAAACATTCCCTTGCCAAACATGCGCAGCTAAGGTTAGCCAGAAAGTGAACAGATACTAGGACTGGTGAAGTGTAGCCTACAGTAGAATATTCATAGACAAAATGGTAGCCCATGACCCGCCATCCCTCCCTACAAAAATAAGAATGCGGAAAAATAGCCCACTCAATACAGCCCACTCATACAACCATGTGCAAATCATAAAAATAACCCAGAATACATGGATACATTTACAAGGTAGAACAGTTTGACACAATGAAGATCATGAATGACAAGGCAGTGTCAGCTGACACGTCCAGCAAATATGGTCTTACTCAACACAGTGACTTATACAGGGCTCAGACCATAACCTAATCAGAGACGGTGTCTGAGGAAGCTGTCCATCTACCCCATACCTTGTCAAACTTGGCAAAGGCCCCCCACTGAGATAGGCAGCCTTATAAAATGGAACTGCTTTATCCACCAAGGATTTCCACGCTGCTAGAGTTGGTACAGAAGATTTCTTCCATGACAAAAGAATTAACTTCCTCACATAAAACAATAGTAAAGTAAGGAGTGTTCGGATTGCTTTAGTGGTGGCCAATGGCTCGACTAGACTCCATAAGCAGACTTCTATTGAAGATGGTACGGAAATAGAAGGAACTGAGGTAATGCCAGTTAGCACTGCCTGCCAAAAGGGCTTAATGCTAGAGCACTCCCAGAAAATATGCATGAAGTCTGCTGCAGGTGCAGCAGCATAAGTCAGCATAAGTAAGACTGGCCCTTATAAATCCTTATAAATCCTAGCTAGCCTTGCTGGGGTAATATATACCCTGTGCAAAATGTAACTTGTATCAGATGGTCTCTAGTGGAGACCAGACTGCTGAAAGGAGCCTAATCATCCCAGTCTAAACCAAGAGCCACAGCGTCCCAGGCTGACTTGCATGGACTGAGCAAATTGGCGGTTTCCAGGAAAAGGTCCTTGTAGATAGTGGACAGCGGTTTTGTCAATGAATCATCTCAGACCAAGGATTCCAGATCACTGGATTCAAGGATGACCGGACTAGATCCAAACTGAGTCTAAAAGGCTTTCCTTAATAGTATGTATCTAAATTGAAAAAAAAAAATGCGTGTTGGATATCCAGTAATGCCTTTTCAAGTCAAAGGACATCAGGAAGCCCTGACTAACAAAATGTTGTAATCTCTTCACACCATACCTAGTCCACACTACTGGGTCTGGGTGGACAAAGAAATTGGTCAATTTTGGGTTCCATCATAATGGAGTATGGAGCGACCATAGATCAGTGCCGGTTAAGGTAGTCCCAAGTGCCACTTGCCATGTTTTAATGACGGACCACATAGCAAAGGTAAGACAATAGGGGATTTAGAGCCTCTATAAAACCCCACAGCTGTTGCAATATAGCCAATTTAAGCAAGGAGTCCCTCTATGCCACAAAAGAGGACAGCAGACCATCTATTGATGTAAAAGCCAATTTGTTTTTAAGGAGAGTAAGTAGAGGAGAAACATTCAGGGAAATACTCAGCCACTGAGTTCATATTCACCATGCCCAAGTAACCCATCCTGGAAATCCATTGAAGTGGAACAGAGGCCCAGATACAGAGTGGGAGTGTAGGGGCAGAATTTGACTTGGTCCAATTTACTTTTAGGCTGGAGACCACTGAAAAACTGTTTAGAATAGACAATGCTGTCTGCAACAATGGGCTAGTGTCACTAAGAAAAAGGACCATGGCATCCACATAAAGGGCTGTTGTTTCTATGAGGCTACCTACTACTTGATCCTGTGTAGCTGAGAAGAGTGTAATGCTATTGCTAGCAGCTCTATCAAGAGGGCAAACAATCCCGGAGAAAGGGGGCAACCTTGCCTGGTGCCCCTGGATACCGGAAAAGCATCAGACACCTGACCATTAATGCGGAGGGGCAGCCACAGGATGTTCATTCAGTAATGAAATCCATTTAAGGAACACTGGACCAAAGCCCATACATTGCAAAACACAGTATATGGAGTCAAATGCCTTCTCCAGGTCGGGAAACAGGGCGCAGTAGATACCTCAGGGCAAAAGTTGAGTGTGTTTACACCCTATAAATGTTAATATCCGTAGCCTTCTAGGGCATAAAGCTAGTCTGGTCTAGGGAGATTAAATGATCTAGCACATTGGTTAGCCTGGTGGAAATAGTGTTGGTGAGTATTTTAAAATACATATTAAGTAATGCTATCGGACGATACAAAGAGCAGATAAGAGGGTCTTTATCAGGTTTTCTTAGCAATACTACATGAGCTTCATAAAAGGACAGTAAAATTCCAGTCTCCAAGCACTGCCCGTATAGTTGCAGAAGTTCCGAATAATGTTTGTACCATTCAGCTGGAATCTCATCAGGACCCGGTGATTTACTACTAGGGAAGGAACCAATAGCAGCTGCTAGCTCTTCCTTTGTAAAGGGTTCATCCAATGAGGTGCTGACTGAAATGGGCAGTGCTGGGATCTGAAGGGTGTCCAGCAAATCAGTGAGGACATGTTCCTCATAGGGGAGAATGGGAGTATATAGTGCAGAGTAATAATCCACAAATGCTTGCATAACCGCCCTGCTGTCTTTCACCAAAGTACCATCAGAGGAGTAGATACAGGGACTAACCGTATTGGATTGTTTATCAACAGTAAGTAAACGCTAGTAGTTTCCCATTTGTATCCCCTTTTTCAAAGAGGTTTTCTGCCGTCTTTTGGAAGACACAATGAGTTGGGTCTTGATAGTGAACAAGAAGCGCTCTCCTAGCCATTTGCAGCTCCACCATTGAGTCAGGAGAAGGCAAATCAGCATGCGTTTGAGCGCATTTCCATTCCATATCCTGAAGTGACCTGGGTTGTCCGATTGTGGTCACCTCTGGAAGCCTTTATAGGCATCCCACACAATCGGAGCAGCGGTACCCTCGGTAAGCTCCCAGAACTCATGAAGGCAAGGGGTAATTGTGGGCTGCC